AGAGATTCCTAGGCTTGGAGAACAAGGCTTACGAGCGGCCTGTGTTCGCTTTCATGAGCCCGATAACGTGGTTCCTCAGCATTTACGGTTGGACGCCTATTACCGACTGTACTCGATTCGATATCACACAAGTTGGTCTCATCCAATGTCTCGTGTCTGGTGGGATATTTATTCTGGCCAACCTATACCTACTTGGTCTTTTCTACGTCCTCCCGGATCATGTCTTCGGGACAAGCCGCTACAAATACAGCGAAGGTGAGGAACAGCCGCATGAGCTGTTCACCGCATTCCCCTACAATCTGGTCCGCCATCCAGCGGCTTCGTCCTTCCTATGGATGTACTGGGTGCTCCCTGCATACACTCCGAGCCATCTCCAACTAGCCGCTCTCTGGACGATCTATATTATCCCGGCGACGCTGTTGTTTGAGGAGGGCGGTCTCAGAGGACCAGCTGGGGAGTTCGGTAAGGCATATGAAGATTACGCCAGTAAAGTGAATGCCTTTACCCCCAGCAAGCACGCTATTGCAAGCGCTCTCGGTTGTCCTGTGGGAGCTAGAACCAACCGCAAGAGTGCGTAGAGTTATTTCTAGAGGGGGTATCTCTGTCGAGTATGTCTGTCGTCGTCTACTAGTTGCCTGCTGGCGTTCTGGACTTCACACTTCGAAGTCGCTCAGTAGTGCACGTTCTGTTATAGTCATTTGCTCCTGATTCCGTCGTCCTGAATCTCGGAAAGGTCTCGCTGCCGGAGCTCCTCTCGTTTGTCCGGCTGCTTAGATGGTGGCCTCACAACGTTCGCTCGATCAGGCTATATGCGTGCCACATTGGAGCCTCGCGCATTTCCCATTGTTCTTTCCCGTCGAACTACTTGTAGATTTATATAGATATCAGATATTAACAATCTCACTATATGAATAACCCTCGAATCTTCTAATGATCCTGAGTCGTCATGGACAGAGCCTAAATGGAACCCGAGACGATACAGGAGCTTCTCTGTAACCCCTGTTGTGTTAATAGTGCTGGGATGTCTTCTCGTACTAATAATTTCACTATACCAAATTATCATAATCCGTCCTATTCGGCGAAATACGTCCGAGCGCCGTGTCTTCTCGCGAGATGTGGGCTTGTCGCTACTAGGCTACAAGCCGTACCACTTCCCTAGCCTCTCAACCGCATCAATCACTCTAGCGTATCGTCGTACATCAACGTGA